CAAACCTCGTCTTTTTTTTTTTTTTAAGATTTTGAGTTTTGTTCCACATTGTTCTCCCACTCTATCCAGGATCTCCTACATCCCACTCTAAGTGGTTGACAGTGGTAGCCGGGTACCATCTAATTCTTCTGGTCTCATGGTCATATAGGCTGAGGATCACATGGTCTGCCAGTCTCTTGAACTAATTGTTTCCATGTGTCTTTGATTTTTTTCATTCTTCTTTACTCTGGACAAGGAGAGACCCATCTTTGCATCTAGATGACCACATGCAAGCTTTTGAGATCGTAGTCACTACTCACCAAAAGGATGTAGAATAACTTGAATAAAGCACATGTGATTAAATAAAGGTTGAGTTCCAGGGACCATGGGAAGCATGGTATGTCCCAAGTGCTGGACGCTGTCCCCAGAGACAGCCCAGACACGGCCCAGAGGTCTGGCAATGCCAAACTCAGACATGTATGCTGGAAAGAAGTCTGGGCAGGCAGGCTAGAGGACAGGGAACCAATTAGTTGATGGGGAGGCAAGTGCCTGCTCAACATAGGAAAGGACGTGAGAGCCACATACAAGTTAGAATCGACAGGTTGGAGGAAAAGCTAGAAGCAATCCAGAATAATTTCCAGACAGTGTTTCACTGCTATTCATAAGGTTTTCAGTGGCCCAGTTTTTCAGAAATGAATGGCCCTGTCCTTCTTTCCAGTCTATCTTGGTCTGGAAGCTCTGCTGAAACCTGCCCACCATGGGTGACCATCCTGGTATTTGAAATACCAGTGGCATAGTCCTTAGCCTCACAGCAACACACAAGCCACCACAGTATGACAAACTACAGACAAGTGGTAGGATTTCCAGTGACTATAAAAGGTTGACATCATTCATGGGAGGTTGATTCATATAGCCGTCCTCCTTTAAGAATAGTTAAGTTTCTAAAATTAAAACATTTTACCTTCTAAGAACATGCAAAATAAAATAGATGGTCAATCATGATATGTGACAAGGAGGCTAGTGTTGTTGTTGTTGTTAGGTGCTGTCAAGTTGATTTCAACTCATAGCAACTTTATATATGGCAGAATGAAACACTGCCCAGTCGTGCATCATCCTCACAATTATTGCCATGCTTGAGCCCATCATTGCACCATGTCCTATCTTATTGAGGCTCTTTCCCTTCTTCACCGACCCTCTACTTTACCTAGCATGCTATCCTGCTCCAGGGAATGGTCACTTCTGACAACATGACCAAAGTATAAGAGATGAAGTCTGGCCATTCTCACTTCTAAGTAACATTTCAGCTGTATTTCATCCAAGACAGATTTGTTCGTTCTTCTGGTGCTCCCAGGTATTTTCAGTATTCTTCACCAACACCACAAGACAAATGCATCAGTTCTTCTGCAAGCTTCTTTATTCATTGTCCAGCTCTCATATGTATATGAGGCTATAGAAAATACCATGACAGGTCAGGAGTGCCTTGGTCTGCAAAGTGACATCTAAGCTCTTGACCACTGTAAAGAGGCCTTTTGCAGCAGATTTGCTCAACTCAGTATGTCATTTGATTTCTTGACTGCTGCTTCCATGGACATAGATTGTGGATCCAAGTAAGATGAAGTCCTGTCAAAGAGGTTAGTAGGATACATAAATATTAAACTTTCTTTAAAGATATCAAGTAACCAAACAAAACATTTAAGTTTATTCTAAGAGAGAATTAACTTAGATCTGTTTCTTTAGATCCTTGGTGAATGAAGTTGTTTTACCTATTATTATTATTATTATTTTGCTTAGAACCAATTCATAAAAGTTACTATTTTTAAAACATTTGAAAATTCAAAATGAAAAGGGTTGTATTTAGTCCTACTTAACTTACCTATTGCATACTTATAACTTGATAGCTCTTTTTAAAAGAACGTCAGTGAGAATTGGAACTGCCTTTTGGTTCCAGTTCTCAACACTTGGGCCTGCTTGAGAAGCAGCCACTTGGGGGAGGTCCTTGTCCTTGCATTGAAGAGATTGTGAGCTTGCACCCACAGGGCTTACCTCCTTCACCCTTAAAATACTGCATGTTACCAGCGTCCCCATTTTTACAGATGGAGAAACAAGATCAGAGGGAAGAGGTCTGCCCCCAAACGTGTGGCAAGTTAACCATTAGTGCAATGAATGAATTCACTGAATGGGGTTGGGTTCAGTCACTGCAGCTGGATGACTAAAGATCAGCCATCCTCACAAAACTGAGACCTCTGCTTCAGGTGTAGGCCTGCCTCTAAACATGGGCAGGTGATCCTGGTAAGCCCTGCACAGTGGCTCTGAGGCGCTTGCCCTGTCCCCGCCCAGGCATGTCACCCTGGGCTCTTTAAGGAAATGGACTGAGTTGGCTTCGTGCATTGCTCCTTCCCTAGTGCCTGGCACAGTGGCTGGTACCTACATGACACTCAGTGGTGTTTGTTGACTGACTGACTGCTCTGGGCCCTTGCTCAGCTTGGCAGGAAGCCCTAGTCCTGGCAGGAGTAATGCCCCAAGGTATCCTGCCACCCTGGTCTGACTGGAATGTCTGCATCTGTAACCACTTCCCTTAACCAGTTCTCTCAAGTGTATGCTTTGGGCTTCTGTGGCTACCAGAAAGTTCGCCTTTGATAGATATCATGGGTTTAGGTGGTACATTAATTAGCTTTGAATCACATAGTAAGAAATCATTCCCTTATCTCTTTCCATCTTAATTGTTGCCTTGAAGAAGTCTCATTTGATACTGGTATATCTTGACACCTCTCTAATTCTCCAAATTTCCCTTTCTTAAACAGAGAGCTTATATACAGAACGTTTGGCAAATAGGAATATCCACTACAATGTAACAACTTTGTTGTCCTCAGTGTATTTAGTCTTCCAGGGACCATCCATTCATGGTATAAATGCTGGTTTTCCATTTGCGGTAGTGATACAAAGTTCTTATTTAAAATAGATTTAAGCATAAAAATAGAGTTGATACAAAGAAAAAGAAAATAAATAGTAATAGAGGTGGTGGTGGTTGTTCCTTGCTCTCAAGTGAGCTCCAACTCATGACAGCCTTATATATAACAGAACAAAACGTCCAATCCTGTACTGTCTTCATGATCATTAGTATGTATGAGTCCACTGTTGCAACCTTTGTGTCAGTCCATCTCGTGGAGGGTTTCCCTTGTCTTCACTGGCCCTCCACTCGACCAAATATGGTGTCCTTCTCCAGCAACTGGTCTCTCCTGATGATGGGTTCAAAGTAAGTGAACTGAAGTCTTGGAAAATAAATTTCTGTTATCCATAGGGTTTACATTGGCTGGTTTTCAGAAGTAGATCTCCAAGCCTTTCTTGCTAGTCTCTCTTAGTCTAGAAGCTCTTTTGAAACTTGTCCACCATGAGTGACCCTGCTGGTGTTTGAAATACCTATGGCATAGCTTCCAGCACCATAGCAACATGCAGGCCACCCCAGTAGGACAAAGATGGTGGTGGTAGATTAGTAGTAGAGATAGTACATTGTTGTGACAGAAATTATGAAGGTATGAGGATGACAGCAATTTGAGAAAAGCTCACTCTAATCTCACAAGAATGGAAAGGTCAGGAGTAGGGATTTGCTGTAGGAGTGCATGCAGAGTGTTAGGCTCCTTTACAGATGAACAGTCTATGGAAGAGAATAGGACAGGGAGTTAGGAGACCAGGGTAGCGCTATATTTCCCTTGTGCAAGTCATTTATCTTCATAGTTCTAGTTTCCTTAACTCAAAATGAGGAGTTTAAGTAACCTATGACTGTTATGTCACTTATACCAGTACTTAAGTAGTATAACACTAACTAAGTAGTATAAAGGGGTACATAGACATTTACTTAATCCTGCTTTGAAAGATAATACCAAAAAACAAAACCCAAACCCGTTGCCATTGAGTCAGTTCTGACTCATAGTTACCCTGATGGGTAGGGTAGAACTGTCCCCATAAGATTTCCAAGGTTGTAAACCTTTACTGAAGCAGACTGCCACATCTTTCTCCTATGGAACAGCAGGTACATTCAAACCATCAGCCTTTCATTTAACAGCCAAGCACTTGATCACTGCACCACCAGGGCTTCTTTTTTCTGCAAGACAGTAGGGGGTTATATATCCTCATTATGGAGTCTCTGAATGGCAGAATCAACTCAATGGCAAATGGGTTTGGTTTTATTTGTTTACTTTTTAAATTATATGACTACACAAAGGCTAATATATATATTAAGGCTAAGCCTGCATTTCTGGAAAAAGGTCCATAGCACTTTCCATGTTTGGAAGTGGGTGTATAACCAAACCAAAAACTGAACCCACTGCCATCGAGTCAATTCCAACTTATAGTGACCCTGTGGGACAGAATAGAACTTCCCCACAGGATTTCCAAGGCTATAAATCTTTACAGAAACACACTGCCTTGTCTTTTTCCAGACCTTTTGGTTAGCAGCCAAATGCTTTAAGCACTATGCCACCAGAGCTCCTTAGTGAGTGTATAGCTACCCAGTAAACTATCTTCTAATAAAACCAACTAAACCCAAATCTGTTGCTGTTGATTCCGACTCATGGTAACCCCATATGTTACAGAGTAGAAATGCTCCATTGAGTTTTCTTGGCTGTAATCTTCATGGAAGAAGATTTCCAGGCTTTTATTCTGCAGTGCTGCTGGGTCCTAAGCACCAACCTTTAGGTTGTTCCAAAACCAAACCAAATTCATTGCCATGGAGTCAATTCCAACTCATAGCAAGCACCATTGGGTTTCAGAGGCTGTAAATCTTCATGGAAGTAGATCACCCTATCTTCCTTTCACAGAGTGGCTGGTGTGTTTGAACCACTGACCTGGTTAGCTGCCAAATGCCTTATCTACTGCGCCTCTGACGCTCCACAAACCATTCATGCCACCCAGTAATCTGGGTTGGTAAACAATGATGTGGCGCTCTGGTTAGGTTCTGCAGCTTATCTGTTTGTACCTGTTTATTAACAAGCCATGTTCTCATTACAGGCTAGGAGTCTGGAGCAATGGGTGACTGGAGCTTCCTGGGAAGACTGCTAGAGAATGCACAAGAGCATTCTACAGTCGTTGGCAAGGTCTGGCTGACAGTGCTGTTCATCTTCAGAATCCTGGTGCTGGGAGCTGCTGCAGAGGAGGTCTGGGGGGATGAGCAGTCTGACTTCACTTGCAACACACAGCAGCCAGGCTGCGAGAATGTCTGCTATGACCAAGCCTTCCCCATCTCCCACATCCGCTTCTGGGTGCTACAGATCATCTTTGTCTCGACGCCCACCCTTATCTACCTGGGGCATGTGCTGCACATTGTGCGCATGGAGGAGAAGAAGAAGGCACGTGAGGAGGAGGTGCTGAGCAGAGACAGCCTGCAGTCTGGGGCAGGGGGCCAGGAGCCACCTGATAGGACAGGGAAGAAAGAGAAGCCACCCATCCGGGATGACCGGGGCAGAGTCCGGATTGCAGGTGCTCTGCTCCGCACCTATGTCTTCAATATCATCTTTAAGACTCTGTTTGAAGTGGGGTTCATTGTTGGACAGTACTTTCTCTATGGCTTTGAGCTGAAGCCTCTCTACCGCTGTGACCGGTGGCCCTGTCCCAACACAGTTGACTGCTTCATTTCCAGACCCACTGAGAAGACCATCTTCATCATCTTCATGTTGGTGGTGGCCTGCGTGTCTCTCTTACTCAATATGTTGGAGATCTACCATCTGGGCTGGAAAAAACTCAAACAGGGCATGACCAACCGTTATAGCTCACATGCTGCTGAAACCAGTATGGTAGCTACAAAGCCCAGTGGTATTAATCCACTCTTCCTCCCTTCCCAATCCGCCCCACCCGCTGTCACCATTGGATTTCCACCTTACTACACCCACTCTGCCTCTTCCCTGGGACAGACAATGGCTACAGGGTATCCTGAGGCCCCTCCACCACCAACAGATTTCAAAATGGTAGCCCTGTCTGAGGAACATGGCAAAGACCACCCTACCAGATACTACAACAACTGCCACCACCTGCTAATGACAGAACAGAACTGGGCCAACCAGGAAGCTGAGCAGCAGGCTTCAGGGAAGAAGCCCTGCCCACCGGTGCCTACCCCTGCAGCCCCCTCTCCTCTGAGCAGTACTCCACAGCTCCCACTGGACGGCAGAGCTAAGAGTCAAGCACCTCTCTTATTGGTGAATGGGAGCAACAGCAGCTTGGGAGAGAGCAAATTGGAAGTGACTCCTGAGGAGGAGGCACAGGCAGGCACCACCAGAGTGGACATGCACACGCCTCCCCTGCTCCTTGGAGACCCGGGCCGGGCCAGCAAGGCCAGTAAGTCTAGCAGCGGGAGGGCCAGAGCAGATGACTTAGCCATCTAGCATGTTCTCTCCAGACAGCTTCACAATAATCTCTGTTCTAGAAACCAAAACCAAAGCCAAAGTGCACTTCAAACCGGCAAGTAGAGAGAGACTAGAAGTGAGGGAGTCAATGGAACAGAAGAGACAAGGTTCCTCACTTCAACATGTGTGGTTCTTAACCCTGTTCGTAATAGTTGAATAACATCCATGTTTTCTGAGACTGGGAGGTGGGTTCAAAGTGGGTTTCCAGCCTTGGCCTTTAAACATATTCACAGCAACACAACCACCAGAAACCTGGGCCCAATGTTCTCCGCCCCTGGGCTCCCATGTCACTGTGTGTAGTTGTTCTGTGCAGCAAAGTGGCAGGTGCCTGCAATCACGTCAGCTGTGGGCAATTCGGTTTTCTGTTCCCAAGCTATCCAGAGCTCTGGGCACCCGAAAGTCCACAGATGCACTTAGCTCTATCTCTACTGATACTTTTAACTTGGAGTTGAATTTCACTTGGGACATTTGCCAAACTGAACTAAAAAAAGATTTAAGCCAAGTCAATGTGATCCTTTAGGCCCTTAATGTCATCTGAGTTTCTGAAATTGCATGTGAAGCCAAGGACATCAAACTGCACATTTCATGACAAGTGACAATGAGCAGGCGCCCTCCAGAGGCCGAGGTCTCTGGTGAGAGTAAGTGGGACTGCAGCTCCTCTCAAAATAATCTTAAACAGCTGAGGAAATTGAGATAAACATGAGGCAGTGTTAGGAATTAGTTCTGTCCCCCACAAAAATATGTATTGTAAATCCTAACTAACCTCTGTGCCTGTAGTTATGATCCCATTTGGAAATGGCCTGTGTTTGTTATGATAATAGGCAGGATCAGTATAGGGTGTATCTTTTGTCAGTGTTTTACAAGATTTAAAAGGAGCAGATTAAGCAAGCCGAGATAGGGGAACATAGAAGCCAAGCCACATGAAGATCACCCAGGAGCAGAAGCTCAGAAGAGACAAGGACCTTCCTCCAGAGGTAACAGAGAGATAGCCTTCCCCTAGAGCCAGTGCCCTGAGTTTGGACATCTAGCCTCCTAAATTTCTTTTTGTTAAAGTGATCCACTTGTATTTCTTTTATAGCAGCACTAGATTTAACTAAGAATTTTGTATTGGAAGAGTGCGGTGCTGCTCTAACAGATGACTAAAATGTGGAAGCAGTTTTGAAACTGGATAGAGGCTAGAATAATTTTCAGGTGCCTAATATTAAAAGCTCTGGTAGCATAGTGCCTTTGGCACTTGACTGCTAACCAGAAGGCTGGCGATTCAAACCCACCAGCCACTCTTCAGAAGGAAGGTTGGGCAATCTACTTTCATAGTGATACCGCCTCAGAAACCCAAGGAAGAGGCACTATGAGTCAGGTCTGACTCCACGGCACATAACAACAACAATAGTAAAAGCCTAGATTGCCTCAAAGAATCTGTTGGTAGAATTATGGACATCAAAGGCAACTTGGGCAAGAGCTCAGAAGGAAGTGAGGAGAATTACAGAGAAAGATTCTGTCATCTTAGAGAATACATATGGCATCAGTAGCAGAATATTGCGGAAAATGTGGACATTAAATATGCTTCTGATGAGACTTTAAAAGAAAATGATGAATGTGATTGGATAGGGGAGGAAGGGCAGTGCTTTTTATGCAGTGGCAAAGAACTTATAAGAATTATGTTCACATGTTTGCTGGAAGATAGAACTTATAAGTGATAAACTTGGATAATCTGGCCGATGAGATTTCTGAGCAGGATCTCAAAGGGGTTTCATAGTTTCTTCTTTCTGCTTACAATGAAATGTAAGAGGAAAGAGATGGACTTAAAAATGAAAACAGAACTTACAGATTTGGAAAATTCTGTTGTATAAAATAAGGACACATGTCCCAGAATGTTCACCAAGAACATGGCTACACAATCTTTTATTAAAGAGATTAAGCCTGTAACTGATGGATCTAACCAGCTACCACAGCAGAAATTTGAATGGAGCAGAGAAAGAATAAAAGGAAAGAATGGTATCTGCCTTGTGGAATTTTGCAGGTTGGAAACAGGCCAAAGGAGCTACATCTGTTGTCCTCCAAGAAAAGAAAAGGACCATCCCTGGAGCAGCAGCTCGAAGATCAGCAGAACTGTTGGAAGGAGCATGGGAAGTAGGGTGGGGCCATAGTCTCCTGTATCTTAAAGGGTGGGGCCACAGCATCCTAGGTTTCGGAGAGTTGGATCTTCATCAACTCAGTTCTGGAGTGTGGGGCTGCTGCTTGATATGCTAGGGGGATGAAGCTGCCATGCCCAAGGACCAGAATGGGGCCTGCTGGCAAGGCCGAGGGAGTGGTTGCCACTCAGGTGGACTAGGAGAATGGGATTGCCCAAAGCCAAGGGTTCAGAGTTGTCATCCCAGTGGGCCTGGAAGGCAGAGCTGTAGCCTAGAGCTGAGGATCCTCCACCTAGAATCCAGAAAATAAGGCCAAAACCCAGAGTCTGGAGGCTAGGGCCATTGCCCATATGGTCTCAGAGAAAAGAGAATTATTTTCAAGCCTTGAGAGCTAACGTAATTTGTTCTGCTGGGTTTTGGACTTGCTTGGTGCCCGTTTCCCTTCTTGCCCTCTAGTTTCTCCCATTTGTAATGGAAATCTACCTTGTGTCTGTTCCACCATTCTACATTTAGAAACATAACTTGTACTCTAGATTTCACAGGTTCACAGATGAAGAGTATTTTGCCCCAGGATGGAATATGCCTGAAGTCTCACCTGTATTTGATTTAGATGATTCAGAAGATGAGATTTTTGACTTGGAGTTGATTTAAGACTTTTGGGATGATGTGATGGGGTGGATATGTTTTGCATGTGGCAAGGACATGAGTTTTGGGGGGTTAAAGAGTGAAATGTTATGGTTTGAATTATGCCCGCCCCCCACGAAACATGGGTTGTAAATCCTAATCTCTATGCCTGTAGTTATAATCCCATTTGGGAATGGGTTGTCTTTGTTATGGTGATGAGACAGAATTAGTGTAGGGTGTGTCTTGAGTCAATCTCTGATGAGCTATGAAATGAGCAGATTAAGCAGCAGAGATGGAGGAAGAGAGATGCCAAGCCACGTGAAGACCACCCAAGGTGCAGAAGCTCAGAAGAAACAAGGACCTTCCTCCAGAGCTGACAGAGAGAAAGCCTTCCCCTAGAGCCAGCGCCCTGAATTTGGACATCTAGCCTCCTGAACTGTGAGAAAATAAATTTTTGTTTGTTAAAACCATCCACTTGTGGTATTTCTATTATAGCAGCACTAGGTATCTAAGGCAGGTATGCCTTGGGTATTCATTTTTTAAATGGCATTTTGAGTTTTGATCTGAACTATACAAGTATGACCATTTTTTCCATTTTCTATATTTCAGGAAGAATGAAAGGCTTGTTGTTGTTGTTGTTATGTGCCGTCAAGTCGGCCCCGACTCATAACGACCCCACCTTGGGTTTCCGAGGCAGTATCGGAGGGAGCTCTGGTAGCATAGTGGCTAAGGCACTTGACTGCTAACCAGAAGGCTGGCGGTTCAAACCCACCAGCCACTCCTCGGAAGGAAGGTTGGGCAATCCTACTTCCGTAGTGATACTGCCTCGGAAACCCAAGGAGGGGTCACTATGAGTCAGGTGTGACTCGACGGTACACAACAACAACAACAACAACAACAACATCACTATGGAAGTAGGATTGCCCAACCTTCCTTCCGAGGAGTGGCTGGTGGGTTTGAACCGCCAGTCTTCTGGTTAGCAGTCAAGTGCTTTAGTCACTATGCTACCAGAGCTCCTCAGTACTGTTAAAAATGAAAGGATTAATACTGTTAAGATGACTAACGATCAAGAGAATGCTAATTTGTCCTAATTACACACTAGTAAGAATTTGAACTTTCTTTGAAAAGAAACTCTTCAACTTTGCAAGTCAGCTGATTACTATGAAGATATACTTTATATATATAAGCAGGAAACAATTAAGTGCATATCAAATACTTGAAGTTGGGAAGTTTTTCAGTGGGAAATTAAAAACTAACTACTGTCACCAGAAAATGTTTCTTCAGACAAATCAATGACCTAGGCTGCTTTTTTTTAAAACAGTATAAAACAGAACAGTTAAGATTCCTAGCCATTCTTTGTGGGCAGCCCGTTTGCTTTTTAAAGTATCAATAAAAATATCTTACATTTTTCTTCCTATTTAAGCACACACGCTGAGATAGGATGTAGAGCTTATTTTGCATGGACTGTTAGGGAAGCTATTTATGTGCGTGGGTGTGGCTAGAAGATGGCAGAATCTTCTTTTTAAATTGTGATTTGGGTGAACGTTTACAGAGCAAATTCATTTTCAGTACAGCAGTTCATACACATTTTGTTTCATGACATTGACTGCAATTCCCCACAGTGTAACAGCTCTCTTCCCACTTCTTCCCTATAGCTACCTCTTCCCTGTGTCCTTCTTTCCTGTACATTCCCGCCCCCTGAGCTGTCTCCCTATGCAAATACTGCCCTTCTGTTCTCCCATGATTAATCGTTCTAAGGAGTGTATTAACTTGATGTAAATGTTCACCCTATATGTCTGTCTATTGTTTGGCTGGAAGCCACGGGAGTGAATTCAGTTCCAGGCCCAAAGAATGACTAGGGGCCATAGTCTTAGGGGTTTCACCCATCTCAGACCAGTAAGCCAGGTCTTTTTTATGATTCTGAGTTTTGTTCCACATCTTTCTCCCACTGTATCCAGGATCTCCTATACTGATGCCTTTTTGAGTGGCTGACAGTGGTAGCCGGGCACCATCTAGTTCTTCCTGTCTCATGGTCATATAGGCTGAGGTCCGCATTGTTCACTAGTCCCTTGGACTAATTGTTTCCATGTGTCTTTGGTCTAGAAGATAGCAGAATCTTCTGTACTGCATAGCTATATGTAATGTCTTAATCATTATTATTTTAAAATCGATGGATGATAATGTTGAGTCTGATCTCAGTTACACTTTCACTTCCAACTTCCA